TAACAATTACTTCATTTCTATACCTAGGTTGCCACCCTTATCCATAAACTGCAAGCAATTGCCCAATCACAGAATATTCCTATACTGATCTGTGGGGATTTGAACTCAATTCCTGGAAGGTTAATCTTTTGCTCTTACTAATTAGTGGTTCACATTAAAAGATATGAAAAAAATGTTGTGCAGTTCAAATTATACTAAACTACACAACACTTGCTATTAGATGAGAGATGGATTCCCTAATATTGAAAGCCCTCTCCCATCTAGTAGCCTTTATTTTGCAATTCAATGCAATGTAGTTTGGTCTAAACTACAAAATAGGAGACTCAAAATACATATGGATTTAGCAATGGGGATCTTAAAATACCCTACATAAATCAAAGAAACGAGAATGTGAATGTTTAGTTTTTTCTCAAGTTTTCGAAGAAATTGATGCCATATGTACATATGGTAAAGGTGTCATATTTGTAACAGTTTATATACATGCATATATGAATTTGCAAAACTAATTAACATTTATTTCCATATGGAATGTTATCACAGTGATCCTCATAGATTGATAAAACAAGGAATCAATTATGGAGAAGGACGTGGTGATACTAGGCCAGTAATCAATCTGGTAAGGCTATTATTATCCTGCAGAAAGCCTACCCTTAAATCATAATTCTAATGGTTGTGATTTCTTAACAATGAAAATTTAATGTAAATTTTACAATGCTCATGTTACATTAATGAGTGATGCATATATATTGAATCTCATGTCTCGTCAAATTAAAAGAGCTAATTAAAATTGTCATATGGTAAGATTTTATCATCCAATTTATAGGAAGAAATGCTTGCAAACATATTCCCTTTGTCACACCATATTTCCAATTTTCTTACAATTTGTAGCTGATGAAAGCACCAAATTTTAAGTTTTAAGACATGCTGCATCACAATTACCTACAATGAACCTCTTTAAACTCTCTCTAGCTCTTTTCTTTTATGGGTGAACGAGTGGTCATGATATATATTCAATTTTCTGTGCATCACAATAGCTAAACCTTGTAATGCTGTCAAATGCATCATTTCAGGAAAGTGCATATGAAAGGTTTCTTTCTTCCTCTGGGATTGAGCATAGATACTTATTAGCCACCATGCATCCTCTCAACCGTGAGCCTCGGTTTACCTATTTCACTCCACGTTACTCTGGAACGTTGGATTATATTTTCTACACAGGTACCTATATATTCTTGGCCTCATATATATACTTGACTCTTGAGATATCCTTTTTCAGTCGCTTGTTAATTTTTTCAAAGTTTTGTCAATGATGAACTTGTTTTGATGATTACACACATTGTTACCTCAATTAAGATTGTTTGAAGGAAACACTTGACAGATGCTGTTCTTCTTGAGAATGTATAGAAGTGCATTTATTGGCTATGAAGAAAAAACTACATATTAATTTCTTTAGTAAACTAATTTACTGGGTTATTGATATTTTTGGTATTTTGTCATCTCTAAACCTAGTTCTCTGTTGTATTTTTAACGGCATACAAGTTTTTCTCCACAGCTGATGGCAGGTTGAAGGTTGTGGGCTTACTGGAACTTCCCAGCAAACGAAGCCTGGGTGGGCCTCTTCCTTCTCCTGACTGGCCATCAGACCATATCGCTCTCATGGCACGCTTTAGACTTGTCATGGACTGCCATTTGATCAACATGGACCACCAAGTGCGAAGAAGGACTAACTATATATCAATTACAGGATCTTAAATCCGGGGGAAAAGAAAAGGACCCGTGGTTGCCTTTTTGTGAAACGACCATGAGCAGCTGACACTTCTTCGGATCTCATCTTGTTCTTCTAAACTTATTTGGACATTATTAGATTTGGTGATAGGTGTGGAAACGGTAACATTATTTTGTTAAAGTTATATAAATTTTATTTAATTTGATTGATATTATATTCATTTTTAATTTTTTAAATAATTAATTATGATGTTTAAAATTTTTTATTTATTAACTAATTTTAATATTTTAAGTAATAAATATTCATTAATTTATTAATTATTAATTAATTTTAACAATCAAATTAAATTAAATTAATATCTTTAAAATTATTAGTACGTGACCTTAACATTATGGGCCACACGCCGGTTTGGACAAAAATTTTTAAATTGAAATTTTGTAAGAAGAAAATCAGAATAAAGGAATTTCAAATTTCATTTTTTTTACCACCCCCCCTCTCGCCCCAAAAAAAAAAAGAAAAGGAAAATGAGCCTTACAATGAACCTGGGCCAGAGGCAATTGGTCACTCACCCAGTGACTCAAAAACAGTTAGACCATGGGTTCTAGACTTCTTAGCTTTGTGCCTCTCTTCCCCGGCCCAACTCATTATTGCAATTGTTTAAAAAAAGAAAAATGGTGTAGCCTTAACAATATTTTAAGGAAAAAAGGGTAACCTTACAATAAAATATTTAATCTTTTTGGTAAGTATGAGAAAAATCAGGAATTTCTGTTAATTTAAATGTCTGATATGATAATAAAGTAAATTAAAATATTTTTAATAAATTAACATAAAAAATTTATGTATGCAAAGGTTATAATTTTTTATTTTTTTAATAAAAAATTGATTACAATAATAAAAAATAACATTTTTATTTTATAATTTAAATTATCTTAAATTATAAGATAAAGATAATTATATAATTTGAATGTCCTAAAATCAGAGGACTGTTCTTGTTGTCATATAACTTTTTTTATGTAAATTTGTATAATTTTTTATTTTTTTAATAAAAGTAATGCTTAATAGATTAGTATTGTTAGATATTAGTAATTGAAAATTTAATCTTTAGATTTAGTGAATAACCCACTTACCTCAATGAAACGCATAATCATTAGACTCGCTTGATGGAGTTCGTAAATTTGTATAATTTTTATTTTTTAATAAGAGTAATGTTTAATAGATTAGTATTATTAGATATTAGTAACTGAAAATTTAATCTTTAGATCTGATGAATAACCCACATATCTCAATGAAACGCATGATCATTAGACTCAAACGATGGAGTTCGTAAATTTGTATAATTTAAACTTTAAAGTGTATAATAGTTTTTTTTCAAAATAATATCATAAGGGTGTTTGCAGTCCAAACAGTTGCGGACTGCACAAGTATAATCCAATGGTTCAGTGGCAAAGCAAACCATACCGAAGTGAATAACTCATCCAACCCAGAGCTGCGCCCGTGGCAACTGGCGAATCCCACTAGCCCTTGCGGTGCATCGTCGTCGTCGGCATCTGCAAGAACAATGGTTATGGAAATGGTGATGGTGGCGTGGAGGGCAGTGATGCCTATTATCATACTCGTTGCTTTTATTTTGCTCGAGGGGTGGGTCTCTGTTCATTCTTGCAAGCTCATTTCCGGGATTAATTCCGAAAATATGACGACAGGAGAAATAATTGGCCCGAGGATATCAAGGTTATGAAGGTAGCCAATTGGCTCTTGCTTGGATCTGAAGCTGGTTTCCTTGAACTCTTTTTCAGACACTATTATATGGCGAAGTTCTGGATGTTAATTTTGTGCTTTGTATCATTTTTTGTGTTGTTCTTACTTCGGATGATTTTGCTGCTGCATCTGCATTAGTACATTAGTGGGAATCTTTAGAAGAGTGTCTTAGGATTTAGGAAAGGTTACTTTTAAGCAGCCGAAGTTTGGGGTTCTATTTTCCACTGCATTTTATTTGTGTTTTATAATAACATGTTAAAGATTCATGTATAGACATTGTGGGAGTTAGGTGTTTAAAGCATTAAAAAAGATCATGGCTTTTCAAAAAGAAGCTTTAAAGTCTTTATTCATGGTTCATGACACTGTCAAATAAGTTGGACTAAGCTACTTTGGAATAAGATTAAAGATGGACTTGATTTTTTCTTCTTTTTTTTTTTCCTTATTCATGGTTCATTACGCTGTCAAATAAGTTGGACTAAGCTACTTTGGGATAAGATTAAAGATGGTCTTGATTTTTTCCTTTTTTCTTTTTTTTTTTAGGGAAAAAAAATGAAGAAGGAAATGAATTGGAATTTTGGGCTTAAAGAGGCATCGATTGCCTATGCAGACAAGGATTTTAAAGAGATGGTTGAACAAGGAAATGCATGGGAAATATTAGTTCTCTTAGCTTGGGAGGAGGGGTGGGTATGCATACTACTTGCAATCCATTTACAAAGAAGTAAATCAAGTATTACTAAAAAGGTAGGTGTGAAAGTAGTCATATTGAACTATTGCTTGTTTGTTGTTTTCAACAATTTTCAAACTAAATACTTGTTCTCCATCAATTTGTGAAGCATAAATCTTTCAGCAGTTTGAAGCCTGATATGCTGCTAGTCCTAGTAGATGTCTCTATCAATGGCCTGATATGTTGAACTATTGGTTAGTAGTGCTCCATGGGTTTCATCTGATTTTGGTACATTTTCTTGCGCTCTCATTTCATGTTATTCTCAGTTACAGGGATGTTGGAGAGTGTCATATCAATACAAAAGCATGTTAATTGATAGCATGAATTAATCAGCAGGATGTGGTGCCTTTGAGATCAATATTATCAGCTTTGTCTCACCTGATTCTGTGGCTATGCTCTGCTGCAACAATAAATTACATTTAGGTGTTGAGAAAGAATAGAAACGGAAAATGTAGATTGCAAATGGTAATTAGAACCCAATCAGCAGTTTAGTGAGATTTCCAATAACTTTGGATGGAGAGAAATTCTTTCACATTTGATCTGGTCCAGCTCTGTTACTTCATTTTCCCTTTGCAGATCTAGATCCAAGGTAACTCCATCCTATAAAATTTGCCTAAAGTTTTCCTGCTAACTCTATTTCTTTATTATTAAATTTATATAATTATCATCTTATCTTCTAGTTCTTGTTTCTCTCCATATTTCCTTTGCATTCAAGTGCCCTGTACCCGCAAGCTAATTG